TACTATGTTTGTTTAACTTTTTGTTAAATTTAAGTAAAAAAATGAATTTTTTTTCTCTAAATTCCAGAATTATTTTTTCGAATTTCAAACTTATTCTTAAAATTCCAGAGTTTTTTTCGTAATTCGAAATTTTAGTCCGAAATCCAGAATGCCCTTCCAGAAACGGTCAAAAAAGTGTTTCTTGGTCCGTAATATCCTTTGTGGACCAAGTGGTTATCTTTTGCGAAAAGAAAATCTTGTTATTTTCTTCAAATACATTTTAAAAAATATTTAGATTACTTAGTTTCCCTATATGTCTTCTATATAATGAAATAATTAATGTGAAAATTATGTTGTTGATTTGATTCCTATTTATGGTACTCTACATGATTGTTTCACTGCTTTGCAGCAATACAAAGCTAAATGTTTATTCACCATGTTCAATACAAAGGTTGTAAATTTAAGTCCATCAACAAGTATATTTATTGCTTTAAATCAACTTATTGATCAAATACAATTTTTCATAGACTAAAATGCACAAATGGTCCCTATGGTTTGCTCAAAATTGTCACGTTTGTCCAAAAAGGTTTGGACTATCACTACAGGTCCAAAATTTTCATTTTGTTGCGAGTTTGGTCCAGTTTGCTTTGAACTTTTTTATAATGACGATTTTGCCCTTACTTTTTTAATTTTAAGTTGTTTTTTATTTATATAAACACATTTTAGAAATTTTGTAATTAAAAATAAAACCAAAAAGAAAATTTTACCCCCTATCCCTACCCCACCCCTCCTCTTTCTCATACCACTACCAGTTATGTTATCACCACCACCACCGCCGCCAGTCACCAACAACCGACACTGCCACCACCGGTCACCACCAACACCACATCAACATAATTTTTCCATAACTGAAAAAAAAACACTCATATAATTCCAGATCTACAAATTCTAATTAAAACTCAAAGAACTACCACCACCATATGATGAATTCAAACATATTTTTTCCAGATCTGAAAATTCAAACATTACATTTTCCTGATCTATAACCTCAAAATCAAGAACGATATTTTTAAACCCACAAGAACAATCGAATTTGTAACAAGAAAAAGCAGATAGAGTGTGGAATGTATGAGATAATTACAGGTCTAACAAAACCAAGTTGCTGATGAGTTAGACCAGTGTTGAAGAAATTACGTAGAGTAGAGGCAATCAAACCTCGACGTGGATGGTTCCCATCTATGGATGTCATCTTCTTCCTCAAAGAAACCCTTGTTTCAACGGAGCTGCACCTTCTTTTGCTATGGTGGTCGTCCGAAGAGAAGAAGATAAAGGAGGGAGACGGAGAACGGTGCTAGGGTTTACTGTGACAGACGGCGGTACTATCTTCCTCCCTCTATCTTAATCTGGTCCGACTATATATGAAAATCGAGCTACCAAAGGTGGTAGTCAGCAAACCTCTGTCGATGAGGTCGAGTTCAGCGTCGCCACTGTTGGGATTTTCAGCTCGCCATCTGAAAACCGGCGGCGTTCCAAATTTCCGACGTTAGTGACTCCGGTGGTGGTGATAGCTCCGGAGGTCTTTATTTGTTTTCTTTTTTGTTTAATTATTAATTAGAAAAATACAAAATTAATTAAAAAAAAAGGAAAACCAAATAAAGACGGTAAAAAGGTCATTTTACACACTTCCAATTATAAAACGGACCAAACTCGCAACAAAATGAAAACTTTGGACATGTGGTGCTAGTCCAAACCTTTTTTGACCAAAATGACAATTTTGAGCGAACCATGTGAACTATTTGTATAGTTTAGTCTTTTTCATAGATAAAAGTAAAAGTTTTCAATATTGTAGGTGAAAATAGAGGTTTGAACTCTATTTTGATAAGGATTCCTATAATGTGTTCACAATTTACTCCTATTTTGTTTTTAGGGTAAATTACACCATTCGTCCTCATGCATGTGCCCCGTTTAGTTCCTATTTTTAAAAATTAACTCGGATCGTCCCTGGTTTTGTTTTTTCTTGCACGCTTAGTCCCTATTGACATAAAATGACTATTTTGCCCTTAATAATTTGTTTTTTTAATTTATTTTAATTTATTTATCAGTTTAAATTAATACAAATAATAAAAAATAAAAAAATATTCTGTCCAAACCCACCCACCCCTCCTTTCCCTTTCCCAGATTCTATCATTCTCTCTCACCTATTCATCTTCCTTTCAAACTCATCTTCCTCTCTAATGATCGGCGCCCCTGAAATACTCCGACGAGATTATGAAACCATCAACCCTCAATGGATGATGTAGAACAAAAGCAACAGTAGAGAGAGAAAGAAGCTGGTGGCGGTTCAAATCTGTGTTTCAGATGGAAGTTTCATATCCAACAGAGTTGGTGGTGTTTAGGGTGGTTTCCAGTAGAAAAATTCTCCCTCTTTCTCCTCTAAACCCACCGATCATAGGGAGAAAGAAAGTGATGGAAACAAAATCGATGAGAGGAAGAAGAAGAGGAAGAGGAGATCAAGGAGATCGGTTTTCCGGAACTGAAATAAAATCCTCCATGTTTTGCCTCCAATCCACCACGGTCTTCCCCCGCAAGCCACTAACGTTGTAATCCATGGATTTGCACTTCGTGGATCTGCACTCCGCCGATATGAACGCTAGAGATCGTCTCTTCGAACTCTTCTAGGTGGTGGTGCAGGAGACTTCCGGTTTAGAGATGAAGAAAGAGACAGAGTGGTTTAGCGAAGTCTGGTCGGAGGTGGAGGGGACGACGACGTCTGGTTGGAGAAGAATGTTGTCTTCCCCATTTTGATTTTGCCCTAATTATGGATTGTTTGCATAATAATTAGTTTTTTTTTTATATTTTTTGGGTTTTCTGGTAATGATGATTGAGCGATGATAGGTGGTGTTCGAAGGGGGTGGGGTGAGCTGAGAGCAGATTTCTGGTGGTGGTTGTCTATGTTTCTGGTGGTGGTTGTGCAGGTTTTCGGTGGTGCTGCAGATTTCCGATGAGGGTGGTGGTTTAGTGTTCTTCAAAAAAAGAGAAATAACATGTAAAAGTGTTAGGTGGACCCATAACTTTAATTTAAATATTTTTTAATAACTAAAAATAATCAAAACTATTAAAATAAATGAAAAAGAAATTGCAAAGGGCATTTTGGTCATTTCAAGTCTCACAGGGAATGAAACATGCAAATTTAAACTAACGAGAGATGAAGCATGCACCTTTCTATGATATAAAGGATGGTCCGAGTTAATTTTTGAAAATAGGGACTAAACGTGGTTTTGGGCACATGTACGAGGGACGAATGGTGTAATTTACCCTTGTTTTTATTTTATTGTCTCAGTAGATGGTAAAGATGATACCTTTATCTTTTTTTCTCCATGAAATAGATTCTATTTTGATGACTAAAAAACAACTTATCGAACATTAGTCGTTTTTTTTAAATAGCGTCTTTTGATGATAGTAGTTGTAAGGTTTCTAAAACTGATTATGTTATTAAAATTATATTATCCCCGTCTCATAATTATTATCTATTTTTTATTTTAAAATTCTTTATTTATTAACTTTGACCTTAAATATTTTTATTTGTATTATGTATTACTTAATGAAATTTATAACAATGGAAAAACATTTAAAACACAATTCATGCATATATTTTGTATCAAGTATTATATATCAAAAACAAAAATACTTAAGGTCAAAGTTGAAAAATAAAGACTTCAAAAATAAAATATATACAGTAAATATGGGATGGAGATAGTATATTTTATTTGTAGAAACATGTTTAAAATTTCAGATAAATAAGTAATCAATTTTATATGTAAAAGTTTAACAAAAAAAACAATAAGAAAGAAAATTTTCTATTACGTAAGAGTAAACCAAAAATAAAAGTATTCAGTATTAGGTACTATGTGTTAAACACCAACAAATATTCAAGGGATAATTTCACAGAAGGAAATTATTTTATTATGTAAGAGTAAACCAAAAATAAAAGTATTATGTATTATATGTGTTCAATACCAACAAATGTTCAAGGATCAACCATGTTGAAGCAAATGATATGATTTTAGTTTTAGAATTAACTCGTCATATGTTAAACCCCAAACCCCATTATGATGAACAACTCTTTCCTCTAAATCTTTAACCATAAACACTAAATTGTATACCCAAAAACACAAACCCAAAACCTTAAATCCAAAACCTAAACTTTTAACCATAAAACATAAATGTATGTTCTTTGGAATATCATATGTTATCAAAAAACAATTTAACAATCACATTGTTTCTCTGACGTATTGTTTGTTCTTTAGAAACATGTAATTTTCCAAAAAGAAACTATTCGCTAAGTGCTAAAATGAAATTAATTGTCGCCCGGAAACTATATGTCGAAATGAAACTAATTGTTGCATGTAGCATTCAGTGGCGAATCTAGAACCAAAATCAATGTGGTTCCTTATATAAATGAAATGGAAAAAAGTATGAAAATATAGGTCTTTTTGCTAAAGTAAGCTGGTTCCTTATGTTTTTTTATATAGAATTGTTGTATTAAAAAAGAAAAAAGGTAGGTCCTAGCACCCACCTTCACATGGTGTAGCTACGCCCCTGGTAGCATTGCGCATGTACTTAGGATTGAACATTTAGACCAGACTGTACCAGACCGACTCTTGGACCGGACAAGCTTTACATAAATTGATGGACCTTGGACCGGACCTCTTGAGACTTAACAGGTCTAAGTCTAGGTCCGGTTCCCGATTCTTGAAGGTAAAAATGAACATTTAAACCAGACCAAACCTGTTTTGCAGAATTGATGGACCTTGAACCGGACCTAGTGAGGCTTAGCATGTCCATGGTCAGGTCCCGTCTGTAGGCAGGTCCCGTCTGTAGGTCCAAATGCTCGCAAGTTCCAAATGCTCAAACCTATGGATACCCCACAACCAATCTTTTGTTCTTTTGTATGTGTTGCAAGTTATGTTAAAAAAATGATGTATCAAAAATTCCGTATCATTTAAGTTTTCAATTGTGTTTTCGTTGATAAATGAATAATAATATAAGCAAAACCACAAGTACACCCCTCTTTTTAAACAAATTCTTTCTTGGTAAATCACTCCAAAATCTACACAACTTTTGTACAACCAAAAGAACCAACATCATTAACAAAAGTTAAAAAGAAAGAACAAAACAATATGAACAAACACTTGCATTCACATCAAAACTTGCATCTTTTTTCTCTACACACTTGCTACCGATCTCATAGACATCGATCTCGTCGACCCATCACGAGCTAAACAATATACAATCAAGTTCTTGATCACATTTCGATACTTTCTTCTATAAGTCGGTAGCTTCGATGTCCCACGTGTTAACCCTATCAACCTGCCAAAAGGGTTCATAAATCCATCAACAGAACCCATCAAAAACGAGAAAAAAATCAAGAAATAATCTAGGGTTTCTACCTTCTACTGATGCCTTGAATTTGAGCCACCCTAACAGCATCTTCCGGTTCAAAACTGCCGTTATCCCATGATTCCATACGTTTAGGATCAGTTCCAAAGAGAATTATCTTTTCTAGATACCTAATTTCACCTTCGGTCAATTGGAGTACTCTGATTTGTTCTTTGAGGACCATAATTGGGTGAAAAAACCAGTCGAGTACTCGATCTTGGGGTCGATTTAAATGGGTGATTTCGAGGCCATCGAGAAGGACAAGACCTTCGGAACCGTGTCTGATTGATCGGAGAAGATTTTGGAAGAAGGCGTAACAAGGTAAACCAGTGCCGATTATGGGACATGGGTTTCCTTTTTTAGGGTTTAACCAATCGTAAAGTTCATTGGCGGATATTACATTTGCATCGAGTAGTTCCTTTCCACTCATTTCACAAACTCGCATCAAGTTTTCCCAAACCTGTACAAACATAATGCAGATCAAATCATCAAATGGGTTGCCTAAAATAATAGTATATTTTTTTTGGTTATTGGCCTATAATTAGTTGCATTTTTCAAACTTTTTCCAAACATTCAAAAAACAAATTGGAAAAAAAAGGAAGAAAAACAAAAACCAAACGCTAACGTTTTTTTCTTTCTAGAAACCAATAGTTGATTCGTACACAACAATTTGTGTTTTAAAATGTTTGTATTGTACAACTCTATAAACATAAATTGGTGCGGAAAAAAATTGTTGCATACAAAACCAATTTCTCATGGGCCTCTATTCATGAAAAGTATAAATATGAAACCAAATATATGAAAGTTTCTAAAAAAAGTAGAAGTTTACCTGGACCATTTTTACTTCACGAATGGCCTCCCTAACTGATCGCGAGGATGATAATGTAGGCATCGTCATTATAGGTGGGGCATGCATTGGGCCACCGTTTTGTTTTCCATCAGATGACCGACTACCACCAACTGAAATTGAAACCTCGGTTGAATGAGGAAGAACTCTTTTCTTTCGGTATTTTGGTCTGAAAATATGCAACAATTGTTAAATATTCAATATATTTTGATAATAAGAATAGAAAGGATGTATCGCATATGATATCTTACTTTGGGAAAACCGAACCCTCTCGAAGGTACAACCAGTCGTTTGTGTACTCATCAAACTCCGCAACCATGGCAATCACATAAGCAACACCCCTTTTGAATGACCTTTCCTACATTTTAATCCCAATGTTTAACTATTAGCAACTTTTATTAATTTGTTTATTATATATTGTACTTTTGTTTCTTCTTATTACATCATTCAGTTTCGAAACATCTACCCAACTATAGCAATGTCGTAGATATATAAAGCAATTTTCATTGCTATACATTGGGTAGAATTTCAAAATATCCTAATTAGAAAAAAAAAAGTACACAGTGCAATAATAAATAATTTGGTCGGTTTTTTAGATGCAACATCATAATAAGAAAAGAAACTAAACGTATAATTCTATAAAATGAGTTAAAATATAATGTTATACATAAATTAATGAAAATACATTACTATTTTTTGCATTTAGCTTTTCTTATATGAATATTAGAAGCGTACTTTGACATTTGCAATCAAACTTTAATCGTTCGCGATTTCAATATTTTTATGAATCCTTTGAAGTTTGATCCATTAAATTCGTTTTCTTTCTATTTGCAGTTAATTTCGCATGCTTTAACATATTTGATGGTTTTATATCTGAAAATGAATTAACTCTCATTGATTTCGAAATTAAAAGGTAGTTTGTTTGACTTCAGATTTCCAATCATACATTTAATCAAGACTAGACTAGCTCTCTAGAGCTATCTTTTACATGATTATGATGAATAGGACATTCACCTCTTTTGCATATGATAGAGATCGATAGTGAGTCCCTATCTCAACTTGGACAAAACTTGCAATTTTTGTCAGATTGACATAGTCAAGTCCCCACTCCAATGCATGTCAATCAATACAATGCAAGTACAGGGCAAGATTCTTGTCTTGTCATGCATAGCAAATCAGAGTACAAGACACTGCGCCATGTCATGTCATATCATGTCATTTTCAACATCACAAATGTAGTCTTAAAATGAAACAAGTGATTGTAGTCAAACAAGGTTTTGAGTAGAAACCTGATATACGACAGCCGAGCCATACAAGCCTATAAAAATACTTGAAACGATAGCCAATATAACGCTCCCAATAACAACAATCGGCCACACAAGAATAGTCAAACCAGCAATTGGTATGCATGCGGTTTCAAGAAACGGCCCTTCACGACTAATTAAATCATGAATGAATCTTTGCCACCCTTTAAACAACATGTACGGACTCTTCACCACTGCAATCGCAGTGTAAAGAGGAACATCAATGACAATTCCCAATAATCCAACAATTATGCACGCTGGCACATGAATGAACCTGAAAAAAATACAATATGAGGCCAAATGAACTAATATTCCCCTTCAAAACCTCGTATGTAATAGTGAAGATTCATAGTAAAAAACTACTATTGGTAGGAAATGTAACAAATTTTAATTGGGAAGTCGTTAATTTTGAATAGGAAAGGAACTAGTTTGATCTTCAAAGTCTAAGTATCAAAAAAGTTGGTAAGGATTAGAGGTGCCAATAGGTTTGTTAGCTAGGGTAGGGTCGAACTTTTTATCCAAATGAGTGAAAATTTCAAGCCAAATCCATATGTTTAATTAAACAGGTTAGTGGTTACCCTATAAGCATGTTGACCTTGATTGACCTATTTTAAATTTCAATGTTTACGTAAATTAGAAAAAAAAAAAAAAGTTTAGAATTAATTAAAATAAGTTACAAACTTAAATAATCGGGCAAATTTAGAAAGTAACACAGCCACGACTTAATTGCCCAAATAATATTGTACATTTCTAAGACATTGAAGTGTTGTTTTGTACCTTTTTAGTTAAAAAAATTATAATAATATATAAAATAAAATACATGTATATATTTAAACAGATTGAATCTAGTAAAAAATTTCAACTCTAACCTAACCTATTTAATTAAAAAGTTGTAAGGTTTACCTGTTTAATTTAACAAAATGAAAATCTCAATCCAAACTGCTTGTTGGGTTAGTGAATTTGGTCGATTTTTCCTAGCTATAGCAAAGATTCATGAGTTTTGTTTAGAAAAACACCTTAGAGTTCGAAGCTCACTATCTGAGGGGGATTCACGAAGCTCCTTCAAGTAGAGAGGATAAGAATGATAACAGAGGTCAGCAAAATCTCGAACGACTGTGCAACTTCCCTTAATCGTTCCCCATGTTCCATCCTGATGCCGTTCAATTCAAACATTATGACCATAAATATATATAAATATACATGCATGCATGGATGCATGTATGTGTGTATAGGAAGGTAGGCATACATGTATGTGAGATATATGTATGTATGTACCAATTGATGGATGAATGTATGCATGCAAGGATACATGTATTAAGTGTGATTGTGTATATGTAGGTAGGTAGGTATGCATCAAGCATGTACTCATGCATGCAAATATAAATATGGATTGATGGATGAATGGATGGATGTCTATATGTGCATGTGTATATATGTATATATGTATGGATATGCATCAAGTGTAAATATAGAAAAGATTAATGGAATAAAGATTTTTACCACAATGGAGTGTAGGAACTTGTTGGATTCATCTTCATGTCTAAAGGCTTCAAAAGATGAAATCCATGGAGCAAAGAAGCCATAACCAAGGCCAACAAGAACACTTCCTCCAATGCTTAGGCCCAACCAAAGCCCAAATAGAACCGGCAAACCAAACAAGAATGCTACTTTCAATGGTGCATCAAATCTATTTGTCCTGCCATATTAAATACAAAAGTAAATTATAGTTTTTGTCCTTGTGCTATAACACCTTCTCACATATTCAATAAAAAAATTTAAAATGGATATTTTGTCCTTCATCTTTATTCTTATTTGATATAAAAAAAAAAAACAATATCGATTATACACACAAATGCATTCTACCAAAGGCTAGTTAAACAACACGTTTTAGGTCTACAGTCAACCAAACTTTAAATTCATCTAGAAACAGTCTATATTGAAACCTTTAAATGTCAAATTGACTAATTTTTATTTCAAAAACTTAATGAGAAAACAAAAAAAAAAGTTCTTTATAAAATACCACAAAAGGATCATATCGTTGCCATTTTTGTCCAAAAATATTCTTCCTTTTTATATATATATATTTTTTTGACATTGATATTTGACATGAAATGAAATTAATCACACAAAATAAAAAAATAAAAAAAATGGAAACAAGAAAAATACTTGAGAAGAGTATAAACAGTCCAGGCAACATGAGTAGGAAAGAGAGCTAAAATCACTCCAACATTTCCTGTAATTAGAATCAAAGCAGCAATTGGGCCCACCAATACACCTGAAAACATCGATCATTCATACATAAAATCAGCAAATAATATCGAAAAAAAACAAAAATCACAAAACAATCAAACAGCAACAAAGATCAACACAACAATTTTGAATGAGTCAATTTGAAGAAGAAAAAAACTCAAACGAGAAGAAAGAAGAAGCTACGAACTTTTGAGAGCACCGAAGAACAAAGCAGAACAGAAGGCAAAAACGACATAGAGGGTCTTCAACCAATCTGGCAAGATGTTTAGCATACTTGGTTTAATAATCGAATAGGAAAAAACCCAATAAATCTTCAACTTAAAGACTCGATTTTGATGAAGAAATTTTGTGTTTTCGTGTAAGAATCAAGAAGAAATTGCCGCGAAATCTGTGTAAAGATGAGGGGAAAAAAGGGGGGGAATCAGAAATATATGAGAGACGACAGGGGATTTATGGAATGGGTTCCCAGGATTCATGGGAATCAGATTTTTATGTTCGGGTTTGGAATATGATGACTTGTAATATACTTCATGATTATTTGGTATTTATTATTCAAATGTCACTTTAGCTTTTCAACTGCTATTTGTATTATTTTTATTTCATAATAATAAAGACAAGAAGTCTTTTCCAATTTTAGTTTTTCAATGGATATTTTATTTGCCATAACAATTCCCATGAGGATTATATTTGATTGGTAAGATATTTATATGTCTCACTTTCGATTTAAAAATTACCCACGAAGATGTTTTTTTTAATCTTATGTAATGTGATATTTGATATTTTTTTTTATAGATTATTGGACTACAAAAGTATCATTTATGTACGAATTAGATAAGAGTGAATTAGATAAGAGTAAAATGTAAATTTGCTCATTGTGGTTTGCAAAAAAAATTATGGGTTAGATCTAAAATCTTTTCGACTTGCAAATCGACACGAGTCTTATTGTCTATATTGTAACATATGTGAGTTCTTTCAATCTTTTGGAACATGCCACATATTGTCTATATTGTAACATATGTGAGTTCTTTCAATCTTTTGGAACATGCCACATATTGTCTATATTGTAACATATGTGAGTTCTTTCAATCTTTTGGAACATGCCACATCTATCCAAGATGGATCCCTTCTAGTTGTGGGCCCGTTTCTCCAGTTATCTTTGACGAGACTAGAACAATATAATAGATGTAAAGGGTTTAGAGGTTGTTGTTGGTGGATGCATAAAGGTTGTGAATCATCGAATGAAGGAGGGTGGGGGTGGTGGACCAGATACATGGAAGGAAGAAGATAGTCTATAAGAAGGGTTAAAACCCAATTAATTTTTTGAAATTGAAAAAGAAGAAGAAATAGGGAAACTCTCACCCATCCAAAGAAGTCAAGGGACCAAAGATTTTTGATCGGACTAAATGTGTGTATGGATATTGAACTAAAATAAAGAATCAAAGCTTCATTTGATTTTGATTTTGATAGTGTGTGTATTAAACCTTTGATCTTGTTTTTGGTGATGGATCTTTTGAAGCTTCTGATGTTGGTGATCTTTAAAAGCTTTGACATTGGACGAGAAAGGCAAACAAGGAAGATAATGATGGGAGGAGGCCCACGATTGTAAAAATATAGTCATAATATAAATATAAAAAAACGTTAAAAAAATATAATAATAATAATAATAATAATAAAGTGTATAACAATTACTTCAAATCTCATAAAATTTTGATTTTGAACCAACCATACAAGTTGAAAAGATTTTGAATCTATTCATAACTTTTTGCAAACCATATGGACCAAATTTGCATTACTCATATAACATTTAAAGCATTTTTAACTCGTGGACATAATCCAAAAAAAAAAAAAAAACTGTAACATGTTAGTTAAAGACGATATGTGAATCACACTACAAGATTAAAGACCTATAGGGACGACAAAAGTGGTCGCTATAGGGTGCAAAGTCATCGCTATAGACACTGGAGACGACATGTCGTCGCCATAGGCCTCGTCGCCATAAATCTGTCGCTTTAGATCCTATTATCGTCGTTATAGCCTTCGTCGCCATAGCCCACCCTATAGAGACGACTTGTTGTCGCCGTAGGTAAATCTATTGCGACGACTTCTTGTCACCATATATATCCCAATAGAGACAATAAGTCGTCCCTATAGGTTCTGCACAGATTTTACAAAATTTTGCCATGCCCCCGTGATTTGTTTAAATATAAAACATTTCAAATATCTACAATCCAAAGATTTAAAATATATAACACGGTCGGTTTACTAAAAACAAACAACGTAATTTAAAACTTTTAGATGTTCATACAAAACAAACTAGAGTTGATAACCGAAACAATATCTAATGAAAAGTTGGGTTTTCATATTCTTCCTCGAACAAAACCAGTAGATTTCCTGTTGGTTTAAGGAAAGACCGGGGTACTTGTACCTGTCAAACATAAACCCAATGTCACAAATCACAATTGTTAGCTATAAAATATATAATCAAACAGTCACCGATCACGCCTCACTCTTCTAACCTCTGGATGAAACTCACTTGATCTATTTCCAACGAGTAAGAAATATAAAATTTAAGTTACTATTTTACATTTTTAGTATTAAACATATTGTAGTTGCATATAAGTTTCTGAAGCTCTGAATTCCACAGAAAGGTCAAAGTTGAAAAGCTTACCTTTCAGAACAATTCTTTCATGCCACCTCCTGTTGAACTGGGGTAATAAATCATTATACGATGATCGTCACCTAAGTTAAAGAAAAAGAAAATATTTAATCTGAAAAAATAAATATTACAAAAAGTAACTTATAAGTTATACCATGTATGGGCTTCTCTACAAAAGGCTTCCCAAATCTCTGTCGATGAACCTCAACAAAATCTTCTTCCTCAATAAAATAATCTAAATCTTGATATGGTTTTTCTCTGTTTACAAGTGCATAACGAGGAACACGAATTCCATATGATTCAAGACACTTTCAATTTCAAAACAATTTGGAAAACAAAAAAATAAACTCCATCAGTAAGCACGAATTTGTGTGATAGTAACAAATGCACATAAGATGATGGATTTTTCTTTCATACCTCATATACTTTCCTCCTGTCATGAAGAAGATGTTGTTGTTCAAGTTCATTAACAAGGAAAGGTATAAAAAAGAGAGTGTAAAGTATTTATTTGCTAATCTGAAACTCAATTCAAAATAGATTTGCATACTGAGAAGAGAAAAAGGGTATCTTAAAATGATTTAAATAAGATGAGACATACTTCCTTAATGCAGCATAAGCTTCAGCTTTTTCAAGCGGATACCCAGAAGAATGGAAAGCAATCAAACAATCACAAATTGGCCACCTGAAATACTAAATTCAGTGCAAGAACACCAAATAATAATAATAATAATAATACCATTACCTGTTCAAATACATTGCTTGCTACTATTAACAGAGACAAATTGAACATACAATAATCATTCTCTTCCATCCTCCATGTTGTGCAATCAATACGTGAAAAAGATTATACAGTAGTCCTTCGTTCCATAATCATTTTGGGCATTTGATTTTGGAAGTTTAAATATAATGTTTTTTAAACTACAAATTAGTATTGATGTTCTTTTGGTCTTTTAGCTACAAATTGTATGTATATTGTATTGTAATGATACTTCTATAGTTTCATGTAAATACCATGCCTCATAAACTAGCATTTTATCAGTGATACATGACTTGACCTCTATGTAAATCGATAGCTTCTCCCCAAGCAATCCAACCTTGGTCAATTAATGTAACCTCATTTAGAGATATACACAACATATAACAGAAAAATAAGTAGATTAATATTATAAATTAAGAATGTTTGATGAAAAATATACCTCTCAGTAAGCTGAAAGCTTTTCCAATGTGAAGTCTATAAATTTACGGGTTCCATGAGCAGCACCTACAAATCGAAAGATAATACATATGATCAAGCATCATTTCAATACATTTCAAGTTATAAAAAATATATATATCAACACAAAGCCATACCAAGTGTTTACATCACAAATCAGTAACCTTAAACATAACCCTAAACAGATTCATACAGTTCCATAAAGTTTCAAACATATTCAAACAAAATATTAACAAAATCACACAATTATACATTAGAAAATCAGGAGAAAAACCTGTAGAAGAAAATGGGAATGAGGTCGATGGAAGCAGTAGAAGGAACCAGGAGGTCGACGAAAGCGAAGGAGTAGAGGCCAATGGTGAAATTATTCTTCTCTGAGGTAGTCGGCAAGAAGATAACCAATGATCGAAAGAGAGAGAAAGTTGAAGGGGCCGCTGCGATCGGGAGAAGGAATCGTCAGACCAACGTGGTAGCAAAGATGGTGGACATAGTGGAGGCCGACGGCTACCTGGTTGTCGTTGTGGTGGCCGACAAGAAGCAAATCGCCGCCTGAGAGAGCGAGAGACATGTCACACCCCCAAACCAAGGATGTCGGAAACGTCCGGGGGTGGGAATGACTTCATGTATAGTATCACAACAACAAGTATAATAGTGCTCATAGTAAATACAACCATCATAAATATAATTGAAAAAGTTACACCATAGTATGAGTTTACATGTTCCAAAGTCAATTACATTATGATGACAAAAATGTATAAATTGACGTCTTGCGTCCCATCCTCAAAATGATGTTGGTTACCTGTTTCACTGGTTTCCTGAGAATACAAGTAGTTTTGAAAGAGTGTCAACAATTAAGTTGGTGAGTTCATAAGCTTTTGATGTAGAGTTTGAAAACCTTTATTTGTAAATGTAACGTATACTTCAAGAAAAATCCAATGTTTTCCTTATGAAAAGTCGTGTAGTCTTAAATCCCAAGACCGAGTGTATGTGCGTATTTTGTACTTATAACGTATTTGTAATTGTAATGTGTACCCAAGAAAAATCCAATATTTTCCTTGTAAAAAGTCGTGTAGTCTTAAATCCCAAGACCAAGTGTATGTGCGTATTTTGTACTTATAACGTATTTATAATTATAATGTGTACCCAAGAAAAATCCAATATTTTCCTTATAAAAAGTCGTGTAGTCTTAAATCCCAAGACCGAGTGTATGCAGTTTTAGATAGATAAAACCCCTTTTTAAAGTAGAATTTTCCTGTAAACTTGAAATGTTGTTAACTTCCTATGTGAGTCGTTATAACCATACTATAACTAGAATGAACTTGCTACAACGTTTTTCAGACGTCAAGATCCTATGACTTTTGTCACCCGTAGACCTGCAGGTCCCGCTGTAGCTAGCAGCAAGGTGTGGGGTGTCCATCCCAATATAGATCTATATACAATTATCACGCTCTCCCTACAAGAGATTCTGGTTATAACTTACAAGAATTTTTAACCCGTACTCTAAGAGTACAATTGAAGAATTGTCTCACAACTTATGTTAACGAGTTTAAGTGTGGTTTGAATATAAAACCTTTTTGTGTGGTGGAAATAAATCCCCTTCTTATGTAGTATGTTTGAAAAGTACAACCCATAAACTATA